TAATTTCCAAAGATCCAACTGCTCTGTTCCACCTTGTGATGTAATGAAACAGTAGTTTTCAAGTTAATAGCTACATTTGACCTTTAGTTCAGTAGAGATTGCCAATTCCAGGACTGAAGTCATCCAAATGATTCTCGTGAAGGTGTATGTAGTTTAAAAACATAATGGAGCACTTCCAGTATTACCATATCGCATCACAATGTGGAACAGTGTGTTTTCTGTTTAAGCATGGTTTCTGAGTTAAACATGTGTGAATGAAACAAAATACAACCCTGGATATGTTTTAGATGAGGAAACAACATTATAACACAGATCAGACAAAAACGTAATACGGGCCCTTTAAGGGAAATTACTGTACCATGATGTGGAAACAGTTAAAACAGCTTAAATCCTCAAAGTATAGTAGGAACCTTCAGTAATCCTAACGTCATTCCTTGGTGGTGAGACAGAGTGAGTGACTCATTCCCTCTCTGCACATGTGGAGGTCTGTGGGTTTCGAACAACCAAAACCCGGCTTCTGTATTCACACTTTATACTGTTCAAACCTGACTGTTTAAGATTAGCTTCAAAAATTAGGTACCACAAACATTTAAAATACATCCTGTTTTGCTATTTGGTTTATGGCATTAAACATCTTGCCCTAGTGTGTAACCTCTCCAAGAAGATAGATCAGTTTAATGTTGTGTTATTGTTACACGGCCGAAAAGAGCCGTGAGTTTTGACAAAATTTTACAGAGTAGGGAGTCTGGAACTGTATCCTGTCTCCTTGATTTGAGTAGGCCGTGATGGAGCGGTGGATTTACCAAACAGATAAACACAAGCGTGGTGCAATCATGTCAAAACAAACATGGCTGCTTACACATAAAGAAAGGGAAAAAACAACACAGAGGACTGAGATAGAGAGTGGATTTTTGCAGAATAAAAAAACTGAAGCAGCAAACTGTTATCTTACTCAGGTAAAAGAAGTTATACATTTATAAGAGAGAGGAGATGTCTTCCATATTTGAAAGACACATGGTACAAAGTTATCAAGTTAGGATGGTGGAGTGAAACGCTACGGTCCAGTTCAAGACCCTTTTGGATTCAAACAGAATGTAGAAGGGACTGGCTTGTAAGGCCATAGAGACTAGCAGGTGGTAGACCCCATTCTACACAATGTAATACCATCTCCATCCTATGTAGGCATCAGGAATTAGTATTAATATTCTGTAATATGGTATTTTCAAATAAGTATTTAAGTATTCATAAAGAAAATAAACAAATGGTGAACACATTTGGTCATTTTTCCTTCTATATTTATCCAACCACAATACAGACCCCGCATACAATTATTAACAGCAGTAATTTTGCCTTTCCCTCCTTAATTAAATACTACAGGCTTATGGAATGCTGTGATGTCATCTGAAACTCAGCAATATGCTAAAATGGTCCCTCAATATTCCAGTGCAGTAGTTTCATAACACTAACTTAATCTCTGCTTGACGATTTCCAATTTGTCAGGACCCTACGATAATAACGTACATTGGCAGTTGGACAGTTTTTTTAATGCTTGACTCATTCAAATAAGGCGACAGGTTTATTCAGTGAGCAAACATTACAATTTCTGAGGCGTTTCACACTATAGGAGCAAAGCTTAAGAGGATTAACAAGATGGCAGTGTGGGAATGGGCTATGCAATTTATGCTGTATCAACTGTCTGAAGCTGCTGCTGAAAGGGAAAAGTATTTTACTGGTGCTAAAGAGCACACTAAATCACAGAAAATATCAGGCCAGACATGACCGTGCATTCAAAGTAAAATTTGGTCCTTATCACTTCAAGTTCCAATAGATAAAACTCACATTGATTCTGTAATTGCAATTGCGATTAGAGTTGTGATTTATATTTTAATAGTAGGATTCTGTTCACATTTTGCATCCAGCAGAACAACAAGACTGAGACTAATACAAGAATCACATGTCAGAACATGTTTGTATGACTCTAAACTACAGGATTAGCAGTTTTAAGATGAGTAAAACAGGATATTTTGTTGTTTTGGAAAGAAATTATGATATTTAAAAAAAATAAATAAATAAAAAATCAAGCATCATTACTTCCTGTCCAATTTTATCTCTATGAATAGGGTGACCTGATTCAAAATTCTAAACAGGGACACACCTGGGTTGGAATGGTTGGTATAAATAAAGTTGTGAAAAGAGCATGTAACATTGTGCATTCTGGTGTCAGTCATAATCTGAGGGACTTCTGTCACTGCATTTTTTAGCTTTATGGTCATTTGCAAATACTGATTTCTGTATTTTGGTGAAACAAATGACAAATTATCAGATTAGTCAAACATTGTGATTGCCCTGTTTTAGTCCTGGTTTAGACATGATGTACTCCTGGTTTTAATCTTAGTTTAGTCCTGGTTTAGATCAAATTGGTCAAAAAGAATGACATTTCTTGTATAAAACTGGGACAAATCACACGTTTTGGATAAATCTGCTGGGACAGGGGACACAGGACTCAAAACTGGGACGACTGGTGATCCTATCTATGAAATTTTTGTTTTCTTGTTAAAATGAATAAATATTTAAAGATCAGACCGTGGATAGGGAGCCGTGGGTGCAAAAAGTGGGTTAAAAAGTACAAAATAAAATTAATACTTCAGCAGAGGACACTTCTGTGTTTAGAAAGACGGATGTTTGTGTCTCTTATGCCAATGTTGAGGCATACTAAATATTCAGACAATGCCACAAACTGAAGTATTCTACATATAAAAAATGATAAAGTGTTCTTTATTTAAATGAATTTGAATTTGAGTAGGTGGTTTACTTTGTTGTTTGTTTTACAATTTTAATAAAAGTTACTGTAGAGCACATAACCTAATGCATCCATTCAAATTGTAATTTAAATTTGATCACGATTAATCTTGCAGTCCTACCCAGTGTCAACATACACAGCTTCATGGCAAATATCTTTTCCAAATACACGTTAAACCAATAGACCAAAAAATCATTCACAGTTCTTTACACATGAATTCACTTTTCAGCCACACATGGTCACAGTGGTGGTTTTCATGCATTATTCAGGCTTTATGAACATCTTTGGATTTTCGCCTTAGCAATACAACTTAAAATTATATGTGAGTAGGAAATACGTCAAAGCTGTAATTGATATGAAATTTGAGCATTGAAGACATCAGCAGAGGACACTATTCCGGTATCCACAGACATATTGAAGAAGTATTACGCTAAAAATAATATCAGGGAGTAGTAAAGCCAGAACATCTTGAGAATGTCTGACCTCGGCTGATCTCGGAAGCTAAGAAGGGATGGGCCTGGTTAGGACTTGGATGGGAGTCGGCTGAGAATACCACGTGCCATAGTGGGGCAGCAGTGTGTCGAATGAAAAGTGTTGTTGTGTCTTTTTGCAAGACACTTCACCCACCTTGCCTTGAGGGTTGAAGAAGGTGTATGAATGAAAGTTTGTTTCTGAGAGTGACTGTTGTTACTAGGGATGAAAATTAGCCCATGATTACAATTTGGAGTGTTTATCAAGTATGTTCATTAAATCAAATAAACAAAAATAATAATAATAGTTAAATGCACTGATTGGCTTAGTGAAGGTCATTTGAAGTTAGGTAAAATAGTGAAGGACAAGAAAGTATATGTGTGAATGAAAAAAAAAAAAAAGACAATACAACATTATGACAGGTTAAAGTAAATCAGATTATCACAATATAAGCCCTTTAAAATGTTGATACATTTTTGCTACGGATTAAACAATACTAGATTTGAATAAAAATTTTAACCCCACTCAACTTTCCACAGAGTCAATGAATCTGGCAAGAAGTATACTGAGATAAGAAAAACATTATTAGTATTTATACTGTGTACATAAAGACTTCACTTAGACCACCCAGAAATAGTCTAATACCAAGTAATTGTCTAAACAGCCTTGACTAATCCTGGAACCAATAGACAATTTAGCACACATTTAGTGCCACTAAAACAAAAGGAATGCAGACTTTCTTTTGTGTGTTTTTTTTTTCAAATATGTCCTCATTATCTCAAAACATACAGTCTGTGTTAAATCTGTTTACATACTCATTACTGTTCACAATGCTCTGGGGCTGTCAAGGTTGTTTCTTTTGAGTTTTAGAGTTGAATGGCCCTCATTATTATCCCAAAGTGTTAATGCACAGCAATTATTCTGCTGCTTGGTATGAGAGAAAGAGTTTGACAACAAAAAGTGAGGTTTTACTGTCATGGCCGCCCAGTATGCTCCCTGTATGGTGCTGTGGGGCGATTAGCGGTCATGTAAATTAGCCTGTTCACAGTGTTGTGGTGAATTACGCACAGGTACAAAAGAGAGAGGCCACTTGAGGTGCAGGTAATAAATATTTTTGTTACAATAGGCCGACTCTGATGCTGCAGATTAGGAGCTGTTATTTAGACAGCATTGTTCTGCTTCACATGGTTTTCCATATTTTAACTGTACACTTTGGCACAAGAATTGTAATTAGCATAGGTGGAGTGTGAGCAAGCTTTACTGCTTAGAAAACTAAACTTTTATAGAATATTTCCAAAACCAAATGTTGAGTGAACCATTTTTATTCCACTGGGTGGGCATTCATCAAGTCATGAGAAAAAACACTATGAAACTGTATTTAGTTACAAAATACTGAGCACTTGATTTAAAATGTATTTTGTAACATATTCCATTACATGGTCCAATCAGAGTACTTTATTTTGAATTATGTTATTAATACATTTATTTATTAGAGAAGGGAAAATCTCACATACACTCACCACAAGGGAAGTGTCTCTCGTGCAGTTTGATGCCTTCAATATTGAAATGTATTCCTTTGACCATCATATCATCAAGCCATCATCCATATGAAAAAGAAACTACTCCAGAATACAGTTACTCAAAATGTGTATTCTGAATAGGTATTTAAATCAGTATTTCCAACACCGTATTTATCTAATGCATATTTCTATAACACATATGTGTTCACCTCTGCTCTGTTGGCGGTTGACTATCCCCCCCAGTGTCCAGCGGCGGTCCAGTCTCTTCAGATGGGCTTTACGTCTCTTAGTCACTAAGGGGAGCAACAAAAAAACAAAAAAGCATAGGGTTAGTATTAGAAGCAAAAATAATATATATATATATATATATATATATATATATATATATAAGTAAAAATCTGGAAGCTTTTGCAAGAGTTAGTTTAGCTGATGTAAAATAAAGTTGTATTTTTGATAAGTGCACTATGTAAGGTTTCTTTTCTCCTTGGAAATGTTATTGTTTTTGTCTGGACTGTTCCACAGTATGCTATTAAACTCCATGGAGACGAGCTGGTTACACCACCAGACCAAGTTACGAGCCTGCTCACAGTAAGAATGCATCTGTAAATGAATAAATGTGAGAAAAACCCCACTGCAGAAAAATTCCATAGTGCACTTTTAATAGAACAAATCAAAATCATTACATTGTAAAAGACCAGTTTTTACATAAGTGCAAATTACAGTTGCAGTTACAATCTATTTATTCTGTTTCTTAACAGTGTGCTTAAATTGGGGTAACAGTGTTATTGGTTGATTATTTATTAGCAGCAAGGACACAAAGAACCCCCTGAGATCAGCAGGTATGTGGGGTAATGGGTTTGCAGCACCACATGACACGTAAAACACACATTCACAAGTACAAAAGCACAATATAAATACATTAGACACAGTTAGATGGACACAGCAAGCAAAAGAAAATGAACAGTCTTCTTTAATGTGGAACTAAACATTAAATCCACCTTTTTACTACTAAACTGTGCATATACACAGAATATAGCACATAGCATTATCAACTGTTCCTGTCTTCTGACATTGTCTATGCATTTTTAGTGCAAACTACATAAATTAGCAGCTTTCTAGTCAAAAACATCCAAATCTAAACAAACACCTGGATACAGGTTTTGAGTTTGAAGAGTGGGTATCTGTTAGATGCTCTAAATGCAATTTTGTTGTTTTTCTATGACAATGTCAACAAACTCTTGGATTTTGAACGCAGACCAATCACACTGTTCCTTATACCTCAACCCCTACTTTTCCCTCAGTCTTTTCTTTAGTTGTCCAGGCAATGCCCAGTTTAGCAGCTCTATTTGAAATGTGGCTGTGGGCAGAGTTTAGTCCCATTTTAAATTCACACATCAACACATCACCAAATAGCATATTATTGAGTCCTGCACACTATAGGCTGTCTCTATGGACTTCACTTCAGCTACATCAGAAGTGGCTGTGTTTCAAACTTCCAACCTGTTTGAGAGCTCATTAGTTCTTTGTCTGTTTCATCAAATGTCGGAGGTGGCCCAGTGCGTCATCTAAATGCACTCTCCCAAAAATAACACCAGAAGCAGAGACATAAAAAAAAAAAAAAGAAAAATGGAAATGCTACTCTCATCTCACCAACACTAATTCAATTCATGACTTCACTGCAAAAAGGAATGTCTACGGGTTAGAATGACCTGAATACAGAATAGAAATTTAGGGCAGCTTTGATAGAGTACAATGTGCTAACTTATAAGACTCATTTACCTTGTTTTATGAAGTTTTTGACCGGTTTCAAAATATATAAAGCTTCTTTTGAGTTATTTAAATGCACTGTGCCCAATTGTTTCCATGGATTTGAGTAAAAAATTGTCTTGTCCCATTACACATGGGACAAGACAAGATACGGATATTGTATAAGCTAGGTACTGTCTGCATTCAAGTATGAAGTGGTATATTGTCAGAGAATCAGAAATTGTGTGATTAGCATGCTAGTTGGATTGGTGCACCCCATCTTCAATCCATCATTGGAGACAGTGCAATATTCTAAACAAATTGGCAGACAATCAAACTTGAGATCAGAAGAAATACTGAAACAAGTAAGAAACAAATTGAAAGAGAAAAATACATCTAAACTAATAAAACTACTTATTAATTCAATTAATGCAAGCCATTTAAACACATTTTCAGCTTTTGCAGTGTACTATTACTGTCTTATCCTCCATCATTCCCTCTCTTCCTCTCCTCATCTCCTTATCGCTCCATTTCTCATCCTTCTGCTCCTTGTCTTGTGTCTTGTTCCTGATTGGCCAATGTACCTGGCTTGACCCCCTAATTGAAATATCAGCGCAGGGAAGTCACAAAGGGAAATGTTATTTGGAGGTAATTTGGGCTGTGGGTTCCTCTCCAGTGAGCAGAGCTGTCAAATGAATTAGGTTACACAGAGTTGCTGCGGTAATGAGAAGAAATGGCCGACAGGAAGCAGGAGGGCGGGACATGTCAAAGATGTGGAGTGACAAAGTGGGCAAACACAAAGACATGCAGCCTAATGGCATAACTGGACTTAAAGTGCATATGACAGGTGAGACTACTCATTTCACAAAAAACATTAACATAATTTTATTTAAGATTTTACTAAAACTCTTGCCTCATTTGATCATTTTACTTCCTAATTTCACAAGGGCAGCAGATATGGAATTACCTCTACGTATGTCACAACTATTATCTAGCAAACATACAGTAAACAAAGTTATGATGTGACAAATAATATAAATGGCAAAACTTTTATTTTGTTAAATGAAGCTTTAGACTGCTAGAAAGATGCCTTCCTTATGTGAATGCATTTTGGGTGGAATTTCCATGCTTGGTGGTTCGTATGTTGCCACAGCTGCCCTGGGGTGGAATGACAAAGACAAGACTACCAATCTGCAACATCCGTGCCTCTAATCACTACTAATCAAACACACACATTCACTACATCCATTCACTGACAAGATGGATGAGATGTCTTTTCCAAGTGGCCTATGCAAATCATTGTTTCTAATATTTGTGATTTCAAGTATAACCCAAATAATCACGTATATATATAGCATATTTCTCTTTCATAACTGAGTAGCCCAAAGTTGTGTTTGAATGTTCAAAATAACAATATAAATATAAAAATTCAACCCCATGGAACTCAGGAAATCAACAGTCTCAAGAACATACACATCCATGTAGATGTTTTCCTCTATTTCTACTTCATACTGCTTTATCATCTTTATTGGAGCAGTTTCTAGTATAATTTTACACTATTAAATTACTGCTTTCGTTAAAAAATCAGTTGAGGTGTACCTCATTCTATTATGAAACAGATAAACTAATCATCGTGCTAACTCCCTCACAGGGGATTGTGTCAAACACTGGAATACACACAATTACTTCTGCCATTAAATTTGTTGGCAGCCTGAATTCCAATGTGTAAAGCACTCAAGTTTCTTGAACTGTTAAATACACAAATGTATTTTAAATGATGACCAAAATGAGAAAGTTGGGTACCCCAGCGTTACTGACTTCTCAAGAGGTGAATTTATGTGTTGTGTTTACAGTTGCAGAGGTAGGGGAGGTCATATGAGTGGGTGTTGAAATGCTCTGTCCGGTTGCAGACTAAACATTGGAAGGAAGGGTCACAGCGCACATAGACTCCTGAAGGAGCTGCAGCCTCCTGGGGGACACACAGGAATTTTCTGCGGTGCCAAAATATCGCAAAGTCTTTGGCTGCGTTTGGTCCCATTACACTCCTGCATCTGCGGTCTGTGAGGATCTATATGAGTGAATGGAAACATGTATATGATCATGTTGGAGATGTAAGGTCAGCAGTTATTTGGCTCCCACCACAATCTAAAACACATTTATGATGTGTCTGCTTTATGAAATTTGTAAAGTAAAACCTAATATTGTGGACATTATTACTGAAGAAATTTCAGTTTATCAATTTTCAGAATTTTTAACCGCATGAAGGAAAAAAAAAAACTATCAAATCTTTCAGTTTCATTCATCAACTAATTTAGGCTACAAATAGTGATTATTAACACCTAACTTTGTGATATAAAATTAACATTGTGTATTCAGGTGTATTATTCTTGGAGTATGAATCATATACATGTTATTTTTTAAATAAATGTAATTATTACTTTTGTTTAGTTTAGTTTTTTCCTTTTTTTTTCAGTAAATAATCATGTTATAAGTTATATATATTTACCATAACTGAATAATCTTGGCATTTGTTTGTGCAATGCTGACATGAACGTAACATTTGTTTTGTTTAAACGTATTTAATTTGTCTGTGTTTGAGTGTGGTGCTGACCTTCTCCAGTTCGGGAGGTGCCCAGGTCGAGGTCATCTCTAGTCCCACTCTGAGAGTCCAGGTATGTGGCCGGGACCCAGCCCTGCTCCTCTGAAGTGCTCACAAACCACCAGCCTGCAGGACCACAGAGGAACATGGATGTTAGGGAGAATACATGAAAGACAATATTTAAGACAGTTATATCAGTGGTTATACATTATTTGAGTGATGGCACACCTTTTTGATTAAAATATTCTGCAACACTGTACACACTACCAGCTAGAATATTACCAAATCAGACCTGGTAGAAATAGTAGCAAAGTGGTCTATTATGTACCATGATTTTGTCCATGCCAGTATTTTTTCTGGTTCTGGTGATTGTTTTGCTTCCTTTTTTGGATTAGAAGTTTGCGCAAAACCCTGATAAAAAACTGATAATAATTCCAGTAAATCCATGTGTGAATTCATCAACTCAAATCGTACATTGCTCACTGGTTGATCAAGGAGGAGTTTATAAAAAAAAAAAAAGTATATGAGCCAAAATGCAAAACAACTTGCAAAACAACTATTCATTTTAGTTATAAAGGCAAATTGCCGCTTGCTTTTTAATTATTTACAGCTGCATTACTATTCTGTTCACCTTTTGTTATTGTTACTACATATTTTTTGCACTGTGCATTTTTAGCTACTAGATCCAAGTAGTTTCACAGTTTTTATTCATCTTGATCAATACAGTTTGTCTAAGTTTCTCAATTTTTCCATTTTTGTTTATTTCACCAGTCCCACTATGACACAATCCACACATCTGTTCTGGGAACCCCCTCACACTCTATCCAGTATTATGTCAGTGCAGTTCAAATGTAACAGTACAACTTCACTTCTTCCACAGTTAAATGTTGTCATTTTAGAAACGTCAGACTCTAATCCAAACTGACAGACTAGACGTATGCATTCACATTTGAACATTTCTCAGCTATATATTTTGAACAGAGTTGAGGCCATTACAAAAGCAAATGTCAGTTTGGGTATCAACCAAAATGTTTCATGTATAACTGACAGATGTAATGTGCCAAAATGTGACATACATTAGCTACATTTGGAAATAGTCTATATTACAGTGGAGAGCTAGAAATAGATGTCTGTTGTCAATGGTAACCGCTCTGTGTTTGCTAAGGTTAGCTCTACTCTTGTATATAATGATGGCAAACAGGTTTAACTAACTACAAATGACACACAAATGGATAGGACTGACAGAAAAATTGTATAAATATTGGAAAACCCCACATTTTCTCTACCAGTGAAGTCACCACTGCACAATATTACATGGCACAGAGTGTGGTTGGTGAATCAATCAACTAAGACTTTTTCACAACTAACTAGGAGACCGTTCTTGTGGTGGAAAGTACGTCTACTGAGATTTACAGTAAATGTCACATTATTTTTAACTGTTCACTACACATAAAGGTTTCTTTAAAGAGCCCACATATTACATGTATAATATATATAAAATATATAATATTTTCAAAAACATTGTCTTCAAAAACATACCTGGATTTGTGTTTCATTTCGTTCACAAGTTTAACACACAAATGCTCCATCTTTAGGAGTTCTCTCAAACAGAAATATTCTGTTCCACCTTGTGATGTCACTGAGTAATAATACAGGAAGTGCTCCACTGTGTTTTTAAACTCCATACGCTTTCACTTGAAATATTTGAATGATTTCAGTTCTTGATTCGCCAATCTCTACCAGACAAAAGCTAAAAGGTAGATGCTAATGCTAACTAAAGCTACATGACATCAAAAGGTGGAACAGAGCATTTTGAGTGTTGGAGATGTAGACAAATTCATTATAGTTACTCAAACATGTATGAATTAAACAAAACACTCAGGAGTCAATTTTACGCAATACAGGACTTGAAGGTCGACTTGCAAGGAATTATTTAACTACAGTTACTTTGTAACAGTACTTTGGTTACTGAGTTTTCCCCGGAGGAGCTGGAGGAAGTGTCTGGGGTGAAGGAAGTCTGGGAGTCCCTACTTCAACTGCTGCAAATCTGCATATTGGGGCTGTGATTTCACCATTTTCCATCATTGTAAATACCACTTCAGTCACAATATTTCAAAGGCCTATTGCTCCTTTCTGCAAAGCCAATTTAAATACAGGAGATGTGTTGTTGAGGGCATCCAGGGTAAACTATGTATATCAATGCTATGCACTGATACATTTCTGTGGTAGACCCAAAAAAGGAAAATTTTAGAAGAAAATTTTGCCAAAATGAGACAAACACACACGATATGGTTCAATCTGGGATATTTTGAAGTCTAATAAACATAAATATTTACACTGATTTCCAAGTAGCATAAATTTGTCATTCCCAATTTGAAAAAGAATAGATAACAAACACATATGGTTGCTATTTGATTTTTTGCATTTCTGCGGTCGAGAAAGTCTGCCTCCTAAAATGTAGTGGTACACGATAAGAACTTGATATACTTGACAGTAGTTTTCCAGTTTCTTGCTTTAGTTCAGACTCTTCTCTTACAGCCACTAGTTTTAGGTATAGCCAGACTTTGACAGCTTGTATGTGATATGTAGGACTGCACTTGCAATGCCAACACGCATAGAAAATCACAGTGAAAATAGTGAATATTGTTTTGACTCTACATGTCAGCGGCCTTACAGCGGTGTCTGATATGATATGGTTGCCTTAGTCCGGCAGTGAATTATTGGTAGCTTATTTCCTATTCATGTAATACAGGCCAGTCAATGTTTAAATTAAGTTAAGGGAATTTCAGAATTGGCTAATCATGTCTTATGATACATTACTTTGCGCCTACATAACCTGATCTGCAATCCAATCTCAAAGAGCACAATCATAGCATGCTTAAGATATCATGGATTGACTGACTTCCTCATTGACTCTATTTATTATAGACAGCCCTCTTGCCTTACAGCTACAAGGTTCTGGGTTTGACTCCCAGGATGCTCTATTCTCTCTGTTCGAAGTTGGCATGTTTCTCCTTATGTCCGGATGGGTTTCCTCCGAGAACTCTGGTTTCACCCGTCAACCCAAAGCTTGCACAGTAGGTCAAATCCTCCCACTACATTAGCCTGACCAAACCTGTCTCAAAACTGGCCTGCCAAGTATTGATATTCTGTTCTGTTCAAGTTCCACTAAAATAACATTACAGTCACCAGGCTAGTTTTTCTAGTTTTTCTGTTAGTCACTCTCACCTTTTTGTTAAAAATCACCTAAACAACACCATGATCACAGGATCCTGAACATGTTCTGTTTAAATAAATTTTGTATTTTTCAAATTTAAATTTTCAGACTTGGCTAATGAGTGCCTTGTGTCACTATGGTAACTGCTGAACATTATGCCAACAGAGATGCATGTGAAAAACCTCCAGCCTGATGTCACTGCAAAGTATGAGTACCTTTCCTTATGCATTTGTTTCTTTGACAGAATGCTCTTTTCCAGTCCATTGTCCCTACTTCACATTTACAGCACTACCTTTAGCCTGAGATTTACTGCAGCCTGTGAATGTCTCATGCCATTGTTGATGTTGAGCAGTCCCTCAGTCCCTTCATACTCCACATGATTTATTTCTGTATTTTCCACTGTTTGCAGGTGGCTTAAGCAAAAGTCCATCTCCTCTATTTATCTCAGCTGAACTCTGAACAGGTGGCTCCAATTCCTCCACAGATTTTGGTTCATAAGACAATGAATCAGCCTGTGGAGCACTAATGTTTTTCATATGGACTAAGCTCCTTTCAATGCACAGAAGCAGAATATACTTTTAAACAAATTACTAACAGTTACCGTTGTTTTTTTTTTCCATTTTTTTAGATGCACACCTTTCGAAATGAGTAATGGACCATACCAGCAAACGTACAACCGTATAATAGTTATTTTTTTTGTAGTAGTAGTACTTTGTTTTAAATATTCAAACTCCATCTTAACACATTCATCACTTGTGAATTTTGTAACAGCAAAGGATGAACCACAATTAAAGTTATAAGGTATAAATGCTACCTTGGAGGTTCTGCTTTTTGTTTGTCTCAATGAAGATGGGATTGCTTTAGATGTTCAACAGTATAGCCAGTGATGAAAGAATGCTTTGGAAATGTCTTTAGTTAAAGAATACTGAACACTCAAATTAAAATGTATTATGTAATGTACGTAATCTGGTACACCAATCATAGTACCGTATTCTGGATATTATTACACAGAGTTGCCAATATATTATAGTGTGAAAAACATGATATACAATTACAAACAGCTTTATTTTTGTTGTACTGTTTGTTATGCATTCATCCCTGTCTAATTAGAGACGAAAAATCACACATGCACGCACTGCAAGAGTGGTGTTTTCTATTTTCCTCGCCAATACCCTGCAGTTCAAAGCCAAAACTGCATGATGAAGTACCATCATGTATTCCTTTTAATTTAGGAAAGTAATTGTATTCTGAATACCACCAATTAAAAGAGTAACTGTACTGTAATATAGGGACACAAAATTAGTATTCTTAATACGTGTTTTTGGTACATTTATGTAGTTACTTCCCAACAATGAGTATGGCTTTAAACAAATCTATCTTGCATTGACTAAATGACATTTGTTTTTAGGCCATTTTAACATATCTTGTGGGCTCCACAAAGCAGTCCTTAGCTCATGTATATGTTACATCTTAGTATTTTTAAAAGGTCCTGGCTCCATCTCTGAGGAGTGAAAGGCAGACTTTTGATAGGACCCCACTCTCCAATAAACCTGCACAAAGTAACTGCAGTAAAATGGATAAATGAACAACAGAAATACCTCTCAAATATGCAGGCTGGAGTCTCCCTGTAGAGTTCGAACAAATAAAAAAAGGTTTGAAAAAGAAAGTGCACCAAACAGATGCTAGCATAAACAAACCGTCATTATTGTGGTGGTGCTAGTCATTTGGCAGAGTGGTTAGCCCGGGCAGAGTTTGTGGGCAGGAGCCTTTTAGACCGATTACACTTCTCTCTGAAAATGTGTGCCGTAGGAGGAGAGCCGGTCCAAAGATTGGCAGCCAGATGGAGAGAGATTACTCATCGTCAATTAAAGCAAAGTCTTAACTTGGCCCGACATATGTGGAGAATGAG